TCATTTATTTCCTATGAGGGAGACTAGAAAAGTTGTTAAACATTAGAACACAGGCCTTTTCAATTACTCCTCAAAATAAATGGATATTGATTTCTTTTTTTAAAAAAAATCAGATTTACTTTCCCACCTTCACTGTTAAATATTGATGTCTGTGGGAAATAGAAATGAAAAGCTTCATTTTAAAGGCACTTAGCCTGCTCTGACAGTGGGGTACCCCTTTATTACTTCAAGCAGGTCAAGAATGAAGAGGATATTCTGGTTATGCAGATTTAACTTTGAGCACTCCTACCGTCTTTTTCTGTGGAAGAAAGTTCTGTGTCCCTGTTTTCCTAATAAAGCCATCCTACCTTGTAGGGGAGGCAAAAGACTTACAGTGGGAAGGTACTATAATAGAGTGGAGAGTTTTTCCCAGTTTCTAGTCTGACATGAACGTGGCAGCCAGTGTCTTGCTAATCACTACAGTGAGTGATTTGGAAGCTTGGGTTACTTTCTTGTAGGCTCTTTAGTTCACTGGTTTGCTTTCTAACTATAGCAGTTCTTGAGATAGTAGCAGCTAAAATTATGTTAGAAGAATTGCAGTCTTAAAGCTGCAGGGAGCATATTCTGGACATCACCCCAGTGCCATGTTTACTCTACCACTTTTCATGTGTGAATACTTTCCCTTTACCAAGAAGATAGATGCATACAATTCCTCTTTAATCTGACTCTCTTGGGGTCATTACTGCTGAGCTTTGAACTCCTGGTACCATCAGTTTATTAACAACAACAAAAAACCACCCTGCCCCCAGGATTACTCACCCACTGCCATCACGTGTGTCTCACTCTCTGTCTCTGTATCTCTCCAGAGATTCACTAGCAAACAGGATGTGATTCGGCATTACAACATGCACAAGAAACGTGATAATTCCCTCCAGCACGGCTTCATGCGCTTCAGCCCCCTGGATGACTGTAGCGTGTACTATCATGGCTGCCACCTGAATGGGAAAAGCACACACTACCACTGCATGCAGGTAACAGCTGGACTGGGGAATAGATGGTAACACATGTGGCAAATGAAAAGCCGTTGTTTGAGCTGGTTCCATTTTGGGGTGGACTTAGAGGGTTCTTGAATTCAGGCAGCCCAACGCTTCCTTGTTAGAAAGCAAGGGGCTGCTCTGAGGCAAAGGGGCGGCATCTCAACCATCCTTAGCTTCTTTTGCTCACTTCTGATTCAGACCTCTTTGAAGAGTCTGAGCCCTGTCCTCACTGCACTTGCCCTGCCAAGTGTTGGGAAGGACGAAGGGAAGCACCATTCTCTGTTTTTAGAAGCCTTGTGCACACAGTGAGGCAAAGCAGATGTCAAGGTTTTCTCTGTCTTGGACTTCACTTGTTGAAACAAGTCCCGTTCTCTGAGATTCAGGGACTTCTCTGCAATACCTCTACCCAAATCTGATCTGTCAGTCCCTTGAAATCAGACTTTTCTGTGACTCAGCTGCCCTTTAACACCGGGTTAATTTCCTCCATAATCAATTTCTAAAGTAATTAAACTTCAGTATCACATATTTAGACTTAACACCCCTGGTTCTCCATCTCCTTCACCAGTGGTACTGGAGTTTACTTGTCTGTGGTGCAGGCTGGGAGCTTTGTTTCAATGGCCAGTCAGGCTTCAACAGCAGTGCAACCAGAGTTGGAGTTGCTGCGTAGATGTAACTGTGACGCCTTTACTGGTTTTAGACACAGACACACCACATTGTCTGGGTCTTACCCTGGTCGTTCGTCACATTAGAGGGTTTGATTTGTACTTGTTTCATTAGAATTGTGGCCTAAACCATTGCTATGAGAATGCAGAATAATCAGGCAGCCCCTGGTGAAAGCTTTCCTGTTCTGAAAACTCAGGTGTCACTTCCTGCCCTATCCCAACAGTTTAAGACCGCAGTTAAAGTCACAAGGCCTTAATCACATGCTTAAATGCTTTGCTGGGATAGACTTCAGCATATGTTTAACTTGAAGTCAGGTAGGCCTTCTGAAGTCAATGGAGCTTAAGCACATACTTAAATGTTAGGCATGCACTCAAGTACTGTCCTGAATAGGGGTTGGTTTAAGCATGTGCTTACAACGTTTGATAAATGGGGAACTTCATGTGACTTTCTTTTGAGGATGTTTTCTGTTATGCTTCCATAATATTGATTGTTCAGTTTCTCCAGTTGACCAGGGTGGGATTTGTTTAAATTCTTTTTTAGAGTGCAAGAAATGTTTCACAGCTTAAAGTCACTCCCAGTTTGAATAGAGACCCTCGTTTAGACAACTATATATGGGTAATTCCATCCTGTGCCCACTGTCTTCCAGTAAAATAATGCCCATGTAAGCAGTGTCTTACAGGAAAGGTGTCTGAATATAAACTCCCAATTAAAGAAAATACTGCTTAAATGGCAGAATTTGTGCCATCCATCTCGTGAGGGTTTTTTTTTCCTTTATGTCCATAATTGGTGTGGATAAAATTCAGTTAGTTGTTTATATAAACTGACATTTTTTTAGGCTTTAGCACCAAGAGCAGCATTGCAAATTATTCCTAAGGAGGTTTTTGTTTAATACTTTTTTTTAATGCCGTGCAGGGTCTGTCTTTTTTCAAGGTGTCAGTGCGGGGGGAGAGAGAGAGGCTCTTTTATATTGGAAATAGCTGGAGATCCTTTTAATTTTTTTCCTGGGTATTTGTCATGGGTTTTGTTATTGCCTGTTTGAATCAACCTGGGCTGAACTAAGAGGTGGTGTTTTCGTTCTCTTCACTTCTGAGATGGTGCAGGCATTGGCACACGTTGTGCTACAGAAGAAAAGAAAAAAAAATCTTCTCTCAGCAGGGCTGAGGACGTTTTCAGATTCCAGTGGTTTTTTACTCAATATGGCAAAGTTGCCCGCTTTACCCAGAGGAAAGCAGGTTTTCAGCATTCCGTCCTCGTCACACCATTCCCATTTGCTGCACGGGTTTAAAGTTATTGAAGTGGTAGTGTTGAACAGTGACGGGGGGAAAAAGTCACCGGTTTGCTAGGATCAGCTAAACACAGGGCTTATGCTCTGCTAGAATGAAACCCGTATATTACAAGTTCAAAAGATTGCTCTCATGTTGCACCACCCTGCCTTACCTCCCAGAAGGACTAAAGAGGTAAATAACTCATTCCCACTCCATTTTGTATTCTCCAAATAGATGGAAGTCCTACTTCATGTCATGTCGCTCCGTGATAACAAAAAGTAATAGCATCTGTCAGTGTTCTTTTCTCCTTAAGACCAGGATCCCTGCTTACTGCCTCCCTAAGCAGACACGATTATCTGTAGCTGGTCTTTCATCCCTTTGCATCCTCCTTTTTTTTCCTTACTGTTTCAAGCCCAGAGAGTTGTTTTCTTTTTTTTCCCACAACTGCTCTATCAGTCTTTAGATTGGGAATTAAAGTGATGACTTAATACTCCTAGGAGAAGTGCACAAATGGAACTATTAAATCTGTGTGTGCCGCTCGTGTGTTTATTATTGCTGGTAATAATGGTAGGCTGTTAAAACGCTGTGCTGATGACTCCCTGTTTTGGCCTGGGGTAGGTGGGTTGTAACAAGGTCTATACAAGCACCTCTGACGTGATGACCCATGAGAACTTTCACAAGAAGAACACGCAGCTCATCAACGACGGGTTTCAGCGGTTCCGCGCCACGGAGGACTGCGGCACTGTGGAATGCCAGTTCTACGGGCAGAAAACCACTCACTTTCACTGCAGGTGAGACAGCAGGGACGGGGAGGAATCCTGCCTCAGAGTTACGTGGTCTGTCTGCCAAGTCATAAATTCAGGAGTACGCACAGGGACTCGATTTTCCCTGCTGTGACCTTCTCAGTACTGCTTTTGAGATAACTTCTGCTCCAGGGCAGATGGATTTCCAGGATCTTGCCACAGACCACTCTGAAGGCAGGGGTATGATCTGAGGTGATCTGAGGAAAGTGTACCCACTAGAATAAACATCCTAGAATCATTTGGGAAAGAGATCACTGTGCTCTTTAGAGTTTGACTGAAGTATATTAATATACTGCTAATGGCACTTCCATGCTAGATCTCTCTCCAGCCAGAAGTCATCCTGCTCATCCCTTTCAGGGCCAGATTCTGCCTTTGGTACACAGATGCTCTTACATTGATTTCTTATGTTCTCCGGAAGAGTAGAAAAGCACAGTTTGTACCTTAGTCCCCTTTAGCTGCTGTTCTGGTTGGAACTTTTAGTGGTGGGTGCTGATCCTCGGAGTGGAGTGAACTTCCCAGCTCTCTCATGTGGCAGCATTTTTGCTTGCCTTGGTGTCACTGGTCAATCCACATAAAGCTCCTCAACCCCTTTGCAGCCCAGGGCCATTGTCTCATACTGACCCCAGTCCTTATCCCAGAGGGAGGCAGGTGACAGCAGTTGCGTTGTGCTCCTAGCCCACACAGCCAACCACCCTCTCCTCCTCGATGCCCTTGCAGGCGACCTGGGTGTACATTCACCTTCAAGAACAAGTGTGACATTGAGAAGCACAAGAGCTACCACATCAAAGATGATGCCTATGCCAAGGACGGCTTCAAGAAGTTCTACAAGTATGAGGAATGCAAGTATGAGGGCTGTGTGTACAGCAAGGCCACCAACCACTTCCACTGCATAAGGGCAGGCTGTGGCTTCACTTTCACCTCCACCAGCCAGATGACCTCCCATAAACGCAAACATGAGCGCCGGCACATCCGGAGCTCAGGAGTGCTGGGCCTGCCTGCCTCTCTTCTGGGGTCCAAGGATAATGAGCAAGAGGAGTCCAGTAATGATGACCTTATTGACTTCTCTGCTATGAGCTCGAAGAACTCCAGCCTGAGTGCCTCCCCCACCAGTCAACAGTCTTCCGTTTCTCTCATAGTCCCAGCTGCACCCTCCTCTGCTGCTGAGCTTGCTTCCTCCCAGGCCAGCAAGTCTGCCAACAGTATGACACCAGCCACCAAGATCTCTGGCCTGCTCTCCCAAGCTCTTCCCAGCAATATACCTTTGGCCCTGGCACTCTCCAACTCAGCACTTCCTGGAACAGCTGGATCCTTCTTCCCCATCATCCCCAGTCGGGTCTCTACACCACTTCCTGCCAGCTCAGCTAATCTGATGACTGCTGGTTCTTCTGGCACCAATCCATCATCATCTGCTCCTACGGATTCCTCATCCCAGGCCGTTCCAGGATCCAGTGAGCCAGCAGCTACTTCTTCTCCAGCTCCAGCAGCATCTATAATGGAAAGAATCTCTGCTAGCAAGGGATTAATCTCTCCTATGATGGCCAGGCTGGCGGCAGCTGCACTCAAGCCTTCTGTGGCACTTGAAGCAGGTGAGTTGCCCTCATCAGTTGTGCTAGTGGTGGGAGGAAGAGCAGGGCCTGATGACTTGGAGAGGAGTGAGTGAGAAGCCACCTAGTTGTGCATGGGGCTGAAGGTGGGGAGGAGGTAGAAAGGGACATAAACGGGAGAAAAAATGTGGTCGTGTCCAGTTAACCCTTGCAGAGGGCAGTCTTGGCATGGTTTCCTGTGAAGCCTGGCTATACCCATGTGGCCAGAAGAGAGGCAAGAAACACAGCTCTGTCCACAAATGGAGCAGACTCTTACCAGATCTGAAGGAAAAATACTGCCATGTGTATTACCTAGTTTGCTGTAGGCTGAAAAGAGAGAGAAATTGTATTAAAAATGGAAATGTAGAAAAAGCTTGGCCAATACAGGCCATACAGCAGCCTAAGCCCTCTTCTGCCAACTGTACTGAGTTTTTGCTGGGCCTAGTGGTGTTGATCCTGTAGCTCATTGCCAGTTCTTCTGATCTGAGGGGTTGGTTCTGTGCTCCAGCTCTGTTGTCCCAGCTGTGGGTTTGAAGGTGGTGTTGGTACAGTCCACAAACTGGCCTTTCTCCTGTGCTTCTCTGTCCTTGCAGCTCCCTGAGCTTCAATGGGCAGCAGCACCGTGAGAGGGTAATAAAATAGGAATGAGAAATCCCTGGGGGCGGCCCAAAGCTTTTCCTGCTGCCACGTAGGCAATGACCTGCCCCAGGTCTGGATGTGGGGCTCCCTCAAGAGCACAGGGTACCTCCCCAATCTCCTGCTGA